ATACAGTAAAGGAGGCCTGCGCTGTGGTTATGTTCTTAAAAGGCGTGAAAACCCTGCGTGGTGAGGACCAGGAATTCCTCGTGCAGAGGCTGTGCCCCGCGCCCTGCGTCTGGGCCCGGGCGTCGGCACGCGGTCCCGCAGGCCCGGCTGAGCTCCGGCTTGGCGCCCGCCAGCCTGTGCCTTTGAGTCAATTATTTAATTTTCCTAAGCTTTGCATTTCTTACCTTCAGGAGCAGTATTGGGTTTCAAGGCTGTTGTGAGGAGCAGTGAGACGATGTAATAATATTTTGCAGGGAGCTAGGTGTTCAGTGTATGTTAATGTCTTCCATCATTTCTGTATATGTATGCCTTATATAAAACTCATTTACTAATAATTATATGTGCAAAAATATGTAAAACACATCTGCTTATGTTTGCTTGGACAAACAAAAGAGATAACCGATGAAAATATTTTGCCTGAAATGATAATTATAATTGAAAAATCAACTTAAAGTCTTGAAATAGTGTCTGATTTGGGGCTTTTCTGTAAGAAGTATTAATGAACTCAGTATACAAAACGGATTGATATACATGCCAAATTAAAAATAATTTATTGGTGTGTTTTATTTTCCTTTTAAAATAATGCACCAACATTAAGAGAAAATGGGGAAAATATCCATGATCTCAAGCATCATTAAATTTTAATTTACAAATCCACTTAATACAAATTTTGTATTTTATCATCATTGTTGAAGCAGGAAAAAGTACACTTAGAACTTGAGCAATTAATGGACCAGAAAACAAGTCTAGACCAAGCACTAAGGACCAGACCAGGCATCATTCTTTATATGGTTCCAGAAGTTCAGTTATTCACCGACTTTATATTTTACTCCTAGAAACGGTCTGACTGCACCTATGGTGCAAAAGGTTGGTGTCACAGGTACAGATGTTTGTAAGCAGATCATATCACTACAACTAAGAAAGATAAATGTCTCCAACTAAAATTAATATATAATTGTATATTTAATTTTTTATAAAAGGGTTATTGCTAGAAACCAGGAGCAGTACCATGTAGTGGTTAGTAGCGTGGTCTCTGGAGCCAGAGCTCCTGGGTTCAAACCACGGGGCCTCCCTCATGCAGACTGGTAACCTTGGGCAAGTCACTGTGCTCTGTCTGCCCAAAATCATCCTCGATGCAGGATCAGTGCTCAACAGTTCTTCCTGAAGCACAGCTCCGATGGTATTGTTCCCTGCTGAAAACCCCTCAGTGGCTTCCACATCCTGCTTAAAAATGTCCTCACCCCTCTGACGCTGGCCACCACCCTGTTTCCTAGTGTATCCAAGTATCCAGTTCTCTGGTGCATCGCCTGTATATTGCACCGTGTGCCCGCCACCCGAAGCTAAATCTCCGCCCGTCACCATATGTCTGACCCCTTTACCCTTTGCTACCCCACCCTTTCCCTGGTAACCGCCCTACGGCTGTCGGTGCCTATGAGTTTTTGTTTGTTTGTTTGTCTTATTTGTTCATCTGTTGCTTTCAGTTTCACAGCCCATGTATGAGTGAAATCACAGGGCTATTAACAGTTTCTGACTTATTTCGCTGGGCACGATATTCTCGAGATCCATCCAGTTGTGGCTAATGGCAGCATTGCATCTTTTCTATAGCTGAGTCGTGTTCCATTGTGTACACGTCTAATATCTTCTTTATCCAGCCATCCATCGAAGGACACTTCCGTTGTTTCCATGCCTTGGCCACCATGACACTTTCGTTACTTATCAGTTTGTCTAGTGGGGTTCTAATTAACAGTCTTTTCTGGAACCTTCCAGAGGGTGAAGTTATACAGAGGGATAAAGTAGCATCAGCTCTCCTCTTAGGGGATCTAATACATTAACACCAGCATACACATTAGACAAGTCAACATTATTTATTTCATTAAATTTATTGGACTGGCATTGAGTAATAAGATTACATAGGTTTCAAGTGTACATTTCTAGGACGCATGATCTGTACATCGCACTGTGTGCCCACCACCTGAAGTCATGTCCAATTTTTTCATCTATAAATTTGATTTTGGAAAACCCCATTAAAACGTGAACAAAATATCCACATGTATTTCATACATCGAAAAAATAACTTTAAACATTTATGATCAAGAAAGAGTTATTTGACAGAGGCAGGAATGGCTTCATGGGTCCGTGGGCTATGACCTTGACGTTGCTCGAGGACACCCTTTCAGAAAGACCCTGTGCTTGGTTTAAGGCTCTGCTGCCGCTATCTTGAAATTCTTAATGGTTTTATTTTTGAATTTGTGTTTTGTAAGTGAAGTCCCTGGGACAGTGGGGCATGGACGTGATTGAGCAGGGTCTGCAGGTGGCACACAGGGGAGGCTGCAAGCCCAGGGGGCAGCCCAGGGCCAGCACTTGGGCAGGCAGCGGGCACCCAAAGGCGCACCTCAGCAGCCTGGGGCGCTGTGTGCCCCCAGCGTGGCCAGGGCAGAGTTGGCCAGATTAGCAGTGGCCGCCATGGCCACAGGGGTAGGACCCACGGGGAGAGGGGGAGAGGCCCGCTGCCTGTCAACCCAGGAGCCTATTCCTGCAGCATCTACACAAATATTAAATCTTCTGCCCAAGTTCCAAGGCAGTGCCTGCGGTGCTCAGGCAGCAAACTTTGCCAATAAATTATTACGGAATAGAGAATACATGCAGACATGCAATAAAGCATGTCAGAGAGTTAATGAGATTTCTCTGTAGTTTACAAGGGACAGTTTTGAAAACAGCTGCAACAATGCAAAGCAAATACCCACCAGCCCAGAAAGACAGATTAAATCCAAAGACCATCACATTTGATGGGACACAACCCTGTTCCATGTGAAGCTGTAAATGAGCTAGTTATTAACAAGGAAGACAAACTTTTACATTAAATTGTCCTTGTAATTGAAAATAAAGGAATAGGATATATAAACAGGAATTTTGGATTGTATACAAATCACGAAACTACTTTCGGTTTCCTGTATAACCTTAGCAAGTTACGGGAAATGTCAGAGGAAATATTAAAATACCATTGCAGACATTTAAATTCAATATAAAGATAGTGGAAGGGATCTTGGTTGTGATGCAATTGCTCTGTATCTTGACTGTGTTGATAAATACATTGACCCACCCAGGCAATAAAACTGCATAAAACTAAATACATGTGCAAATGAGTACATGTAAATTATTGAAATGTGGATGAGATCACTGGGTTGTATGGATGTGCATTTCCTGGCTGTGACGTTGTATTAATAGTTTTGCAAGCTGTCACCATTGAGAAACAGAGGGAAAGGTATATCTCTATTATTTTTACAGTTTGCACTAAAATCTATGGTTATCTTAAAATAAAAAATTTAATTCTAAGAACTCACATTTACATGTACATGAAACTGATTTATATAAAAAGTATTCTAGCCCAGGCGGGCGTGGCTCAGCTGTTGAGCATCGACCTAGGATCCAGGAGATCGGGGTTCGATTCCCGGTCAGGGCACAGGCCCGGGCTGCGGGCTCCATCCCCAGTCGGGGGGCCTGCAAGAGGCAGCTGATCAATGACTCTCATCATTGAAGTTTCTCTCTCTCTCCCTCTCCCTTCCTCTCTCTGAGATCAATAAAGATATATTTTTTAAAAAATTATTCTATGAGAATAAGCTTCAGAAGCACTAATATTTATATGTTAAAATAATTTATCAGAAATTTATCCCAATGTTGTCACAGCCTACATAATACTCCTAATAGCTCCAGTAATGGTCGCATCAACAGAAAGATCTTTCTTGAAATTAAAAAGTATCAAGAATTATTTGTGATCCTGTTTGTTAGCCAAAAGCAATTGATGTCACTTTCGATTTTATCATTAAAAATGAAACTAATTGTATACATATTGATAACCTGAGAAGTGAATTTGCAGAAAACTAAGCAAGAAAAATTGTGTGATCAATTGATTTCACAATAATACAATGTTATTATTTATTGTATTATATATAATTATGCTACAATATTATTTTTTGAAATTTGTACATTTATGTTGTAACTCATCTGTCACTATTACCCCATTAAGTTTTATAAGTAATAACATATTTTTAAAGGAAAAATATTTATACATTGTTATCTTTAACAATTCTTTTTTTTACCTGAGTTCTGAACTAAAAGGCCCAAACTTCAGTTTGCACTGGGCATAATAAATTATGTAAGTCCTGGGCTAGGGAGTTTGATGCAAATTAAACAATTTTTTTTCATTTTATCAAAGGGTAGCTAAGATAAATTGAATGGCTTATTTTTGTAGAATTGAACTTGGAATAAAGTTTTGAAATGACATCAGAAATTGAATCTAATAACTAATCCCAGAAGTCAGCTTTTGTTTTTCCCAGAGGGTTTGCCAAGATATTATTTTGCTTATTTTATTTTACGTAAATACTTTTTAAAAAGCCAACAAGATTCATTCATCATCAACCCTGACATTTGAATTTGAATTTGAATATACATTACTCTGAGAGAGGGCCTCAGGGAAATCTTTCCATCGTTCATTCCTATATTTCGAAATACATTTATCTTCTTTATTTAAGAAATATAGGGTTAAGAAGTAGACAAATATATCAATTTGGATTTTAAAAATCTAAACATCATAGTTTGCGTAAAAATTACTCTGCTTAGGCTCACAGCTTCACACCCACCTCAGCGTGCAAATCCGTTCCTAGAGAATGAACAGATTTCCTGCACTTTGAAACGAGCCATCAGCATCCATCCTTGCCATTTTTATGTGACACGCACACCTTTGTCCCAAAAGTAGTTTTAGTTTTAAAAACAAACCCCCAGCCGAGTAGGAAGCTGTACCCCACGGGCCCTCCGGCGGCCCAGCCCCGATTCCCGGCGCCGGGCAGGCCGTGGGGAGCATCAGGTGTCCCTGAGCCGCCGGGGACGCCCTGCGCCGCGCTGCTTCCCGGGCCCCGTCCAGGCCGGGCCGCTTCTCACCCCGCAACCCTCTCTCTCTCCCGCAGAACGACTCCTGGGGAAAGCAGTACTCCTACGCGCTCTTCAAGGCCATGAGCCACATGCTGTGCATCGGCTACGGGGCGCAGGCCCCCGTCAGCATGTCCGACCTCTGGATCACCATGCTGAGCATGATCGTCGGGGCCACCTGCTATGCCATGTTCGTGGGCCACGCCACGGCCTTAATCCAGTCTCTGGACTCCTCCAGGCGGCAGTACCAGGAGAAGGTAACTCTTCTGTCTCTAATGCCTTCAACCGGCTGCTTCGTAAACTGAGTTAATACTGTTCAAGATAACTCGACATCTCCTCCTGAAGCGCGCAATGAGATGAAATGTTTGACGCGGGAAAACACAATCTGTTTTGATATTTCAGGGTATCTTCAAGATGGTCCTCATAGCTTTTATTGGTTTTCAGTTTCTCTTCGAATAATATATATTTTTTAAACTCCGAATTTTCACTCACGGAAAAAATAGTTACATGTTTCAAAATGCGTGAAGCTGGTTTCAGGTATTATCATGGGGCATGTTCTACTGTGTTTCCTCAGTTAAATCATATAAAGCCTTTTCTGGTATATGTTAGAAAATGTTTGTTCTTCCCATGGGGTCAGGCATCCATTGCCGACTTCCCCCTGTGCCTCTCTCTGCATGTTATCATCACAGTGCATATTATGATCCATATGCTTAGCTCGACATATGTTGCCCTATGTCTAGATAAGTCACCACGCCCTCGAGTCTTAAAAATGTACATTAACAGCTGCTATCCTGCATTCGGATACACCATCTGTTAATTAAAATGATTGCTGCTCGAAACTGCTCAAGGCAGAGAGTAAAAGTAGAGATATGCAATGATTTGTTCTTGGATTTTTGTTCATATGTGAAAGCCTTTGGCTGAAGCAGACAGTCTTACATTCCTGACCAAACATCAGTAACTTTCCTACAGGTAAGTAAGAATATTTCCTCACCGAAGGAATCATTTGCTCTATGAGGGCTCTGCTGGCCCTGAGAGTATGTCGTATGCCCCTGGCCCAAGAGCACTTCTGAAGGTGACAGTTGAAGGGGCTGTAGAGCTTCTCCTGGTGAGTGACCATGGATTAGACTTAAAATTCCTCACAGAACAGCCAGAGATCATTTCAGGCTTTATTTACCAAAGTTTTCAGCTCTATACTCCCTCAGCACAGGAAAGGGAACCAAGATACTTTATCTCCCCTGAAGGTAATTGCATGGCCAACACTATTCCAAGAGCAAGGGGTCTGTTATTACTAAAGTAATGAGAAGATGGACCATCAGAATTGCTTTGAGGTTCATTTTAAATGAAGCCTCCAATTAAATTGTAAAGAACAGAGCCCGTAGTGAGGGAGAAGATGAATGCAATGGTGACCCTGACTGAAAATTGTCACTCAAAGGAATCTGGGCTAAATGTGTGGGGATTTAAGAATTTTAACACATGACGCTATAAAGTTAGAGTAAGAGATTTTCAACTCACCTTGGTATACTTGATGTACATGAAATATTTTTAATGTGAAATTTGAATATGGCCAAAGAATCACTTTAATTATATGAGGAACTGATCAAATTAAAATACCTTTATACTCTGATTAGCCTCCTGAATCCAGGAAGCTGAGTGTATAAATCCAAGGCAGGTGCAGGATGGCTTATTTAAAATAAGCCTGTGTTTTCTGATGGTAGGAACACAGGACAGCGAGCGGGTGCTACTCTGGGCTTCAAATGCTGATTGTGTTGTATAAGCTTTTAAAAGTTACTCTTAGTCTAATAATGATAAAAATTAAAATGCTAAATTTACCCCAAAGGAAAAGCCGGTAACATTTTATCCATCTCTGTAAGAGTTTGTCTGATGCCTATTAAAGGCCCTTTGGAGTAAGAAGGTACCATTTAATGTAAGTAATCTTCCCAGCGTATAAGGGAGTTATGTTTAATCTTGTATTAAACCATATCGAATTTTGCAATTTTATGTGATCAGACCAAAAATGTAATATCCTAAGTCTAGTCAGTTCAGGCAAATGTTCTTTGCTGGTTTAAATGAATAATCCATAGATCCTTATTTTTTTCCTTGCAAATGAAGGACTATAATTGGGGATATCACACACTTTTCTTATTCCATAGAAATCATATTTTAATCAGTCTAGTCTTCCAAATTAGTATAAGCTAATGCTGCAACCAGAGACGAAGGGCTGGCACCAAGCCCTGCTCTCCTTTTCAATTCACTCAAATCCCATTTGCAATAAAGCACATTTCAGGTCACTGGAAATAAAGTGATTATGGTTAATATACTTGCTTTCCTGGATATGCCCTTCAAGAAGAATTTGGGTGGAGGTAGAGTGGTGCCAAATCACTTTTAAACCCTCTCATTTCCAGCCTGACAATTATTGTTCACTCAACAAACCACATACTCCTGACCAGCCACACCCTTCATCCTACCCCCTTAGGTACCTTTACCCCTTTCACTGTTGACGCAGGTTTTGTTACCAGGCTGAAGGGGTCCCTTTGCCCGTGCACACCAAAGCCCAATAAGACACGAACAGACGGTTGCACCAAGAAGTCAGGGTTTATTAGCTGAGGAAGCGGCCCACGCTGGAGACGCAGGCGAGCTAGTGCCCGCCGGAGACGCAGGCGAGCTAGTGCTCGAAGGCCTGGCTCCGGGTCGGCCTCCAGGACGTGGGTTATATGGGGGAAACCATTAGCCGTGGTGACTAAGGCAGTTTGGGTCGCGGGCTCTCCTGACTGGTTGGCACTAGGTAGAGGGCGGGTGATCAGTGCATCGGGTCCTGGCCTCAGCCATGGCATTGCTTCTTCTGGTTTCCCCGATTTTCTGGGCCTGGAGCTGAGACACAACTGAGCCTGGATGTTATCTCCAGTTTGACCCAAACTCCGACTCTGGTGAACAGACCTAAGGCCTTCATCCTGAGATTAGTTGGTGCTGGTCAGAGCCTCCTCGCCCTGAGGGCTAATGATGGAGGGGGCGGTCATGCCAGGGGGAGGGAGGCAGGTGAGGCAGGTGCTGGGGGAGGCCCGTCTGCATCGAAAGGAAAGAGAAAGGAGACAGGCCCTGGTGAAGCCCTGCGGTTTGTGTGGTTGCCGCTCTGCCCTTCTCTTTGGAAGGCTGTGACATCTTCCCTGCTCACTCCAACCTGTAGAAACCTGTTTAGTGTGTATGTTCTGTGTCCAGGGGAGTGCTAGCACCATGATGGGCGGGTCTGTGTCACTGCGGATATGACTTCAGCCCCGCACGTGGTCACCTGAGGACTGAGATGCTGAGGATACAGCGTCCTCAGGTGGGACAGAGGAGTAGGAGTGTTACAGGTGCCCAGCCTTTGTCCTGATCTGAGTAGGGAGAGGCCATCATCTGAAGTCTTCTGAATGCTGTCACTTGTGTATACGTGAAACTGCCTTTTAAAAAATGTATTATGTTGCTTATTTAATTATTTGTAAACAGAAACACACCGACTCGGGATTTATAGCAAATGATGGCATGTGTACTTAGGTATGTATTTAGCTTAAACACAGATCCCTTTCTAGAAACCAGATTTCCAGTGTGCTTTCCCCTGTGGAGCTCTGACCTTGACTTCCCCGTGAGTAGCAGGAATGTTATCCTCTAGGTGTCCTTCAGCAGGTGGAAGTGACCTCCTAGTTGCGGGGTTCATCGGGAGTGTGTTCTGCTTTAGGGCATGATGCGTCCCCGGCTCAGAAAGGCGGATGGCTGAGCAGGTCACTGCTGTCCTCTAATTGAGTCTTTAATTTAAAAGAGAAAAATCTCTACGGCCAGAGTAATGGCAGAGCAAAGAAGAAACATCTGGAGTGAGGCCGGTGCATGCAGCGAACCGTCTCCCTGCTTTTCTTTGGCTTTTGGCAAGGCGCCTCCTTCCCCTGCGGATGAGGGCGCCCTGGGCACAGCCCCCCACGGCCCCGTGGCTCCTGGCAGGTTCCCGAGGCCCTGTGCCACGCGCTCTCGCTTCCTGGGAGCGGGATTTACGGCACTCGGGGTGCTAGCTGTACCCCAGCTGTCCTCAGGCCAGGAGGGCCCCAGGACAGGGACTGTCTGTGGGCCTTTCTCCCAGGGAAGCAGCAGTGGGGCGGCCCTGCGGTAGTGTCCTGTGGCCACTGGGGCTGCTCACAAATTGGGCTCCTGGCAGAATGATGACACTTCACATTCCCAGCTGGGAAAGGATCTTTACATTTAGTACGTACCGTTATAAAGGGAGGCACACATAAGGAGAGGGAGTTTGAGGCTGTTTAACTCAGGAGAAAAACAGAATTTTGCTAAGTGTAAGCATCTTATACCACTGATTTTCTGCCGTTGTATTTTATTGCATCCCACCAAGACATGTGGCATCTCCTTTCACTCGGTGACCCTTTCTGTACCAGTGTTTTCTGCTAGATGTTGAAATTCCCTGCATCTTGATTGTAGGTGTTCATGGTTTCAGGTGTGTACAGAGTGTTAAAGATTTGTCCTCGCCAATCCTCATTTGGCACTTTACAGTTTACACTTATCATGTATTGCCCATCCGACAGCTTCTTGTAATGGCTCTCAGGTAGGCTTGCATTTTCTACTATTTTATTTCTTGATTAATATAGATTTTAATTTTTAGAAATGTTTGAATTTTCATGTGAATATGCTCCCTGGAGTTCTTTTCCAAGTGTTTTGTTGTATTGTATTGATGTCCCCTATGTCCTAATACATAAACACACTGCTAAGCACATTCACAGAGTGAAAGCTGGTCACCAGGGGTCCACTAACAGGACAAGAACCCACAGGAATCACTGCCTAGAACTAAGCATTTGCTTAGTCAGATCCCTGGGATCTGCTTGAAATGGGCCTTGAAGAGCATAGAAGTCAGCAGGCAGAGATAGTCTCCGTGAGAGAAATGGCCCAGAAAAGAGCCCTAATGTTGAGAAGATTCCTGGCAGACAGAAGCAAATGTGCAAAGGCCCTGAGGCAGATATGTGTGGGGAGCATTGAACTGCTGGTTTGAATGAAGTGACACTACCTGCTGGGGAAAGTGTGAAATGAGAGCGGGTCATGCTCCGCCAAAGGACAGTTTTCAGTGAAGTGATGGGATTGTAGGGTAGGAAAAGGGTATCCCATGTAAAACTTTAGCAAAGACACATAGTAACTGAAGCTGTCCTTTTGGAGAATAAACCACAATGGTGCATGAGATATGATGTGCTCCTGACCAGATTGCCAGGTGCCAAGTTCAACAGATCCCTTCACA